GTGTGTGTGTGTGTGTGTGTGTGTGTGTGTGTGAGAGAGAGAGAGAGAGAGAGAGAGAGAGAGAGAGAGAGAGAGAGAGCCCACGCGTTTCTTTTTTGTCGTGTTTTGCTTTTTTATCGACGGGAGGGCTGAGCAAAGACTGCTTGAACATTACCCGTCAATTTGTGCCTGACTGTCTCGTCGGACTTCCACTGACTCGTCAGGAGTTCGAACCTCGACAGTCTGCTCAGGATGCATGTGACTGATTGATAAGGTGTGTGTGTGTGTGTGTGTGTGTGTGTGTGTGAGAGAGAGAGAGAGAGAGAGAAAAAAAAAGTTTTTATTTTTGTTGTCTTTTTTTTTCTTTTTTTTTTTCTTCTGAAAGCAAACAATTTCAGCCATTGCTTCCACCAAAAAAAAGAAAGAAAGTTTTTCTTTTTGTTGTCTTTTTTTTTTTTTTTTTTGCTGAAAGCAAACAATTTCAGCCATTGCTTCCACCGAAAAATCAAGCTTAGGGCATCGCTCCGCTACTCACCAATTACGCAAAATGAGAATGAATCTTCCAATAGAACATGCAGAGGTATACAGCCATATTTTTGTCTTTTCTGCAGATGGAGAGTAGTGGAGCGAGACCCTTAGGGCTTCGCCACACAACTCTTGAAATGTGAAAAAGACAAAAATGTGGGGCATGCATCTGGCCATCTTGTAGGGTGAAGTTCATCTTCATTTTGCACATTTCGAGACTGGTGTGGCGATGCCCTTAGGCAAAACATACATCAGAGCGTTGTTGTTGTGTTTTTTTTTTTTTTTTTCTTTCTGAGGGTTGCGCCGCTCTCTGCTGCAGTGCAATACACTACAAAGGCAACACTGGAGGGGTCCAGTAAGCAAGCAAGCTTACCCGTGCGACCCCTCATTGGCCAGAAAAATTACAGTAATTTAATATCGCCCTGTGGTCAGTGTGGGGACCACGGATCAGATATAAAAAAAAACTGATTAGAAAACGTTTCGGAATGGTACATTGTCCACCGCGTGTTTAGACTCTAGAGGCGACCCACACACTGCTCAAAGGGGCTGTCACTGATTCATCTTTTATGACTCTTTTACGAGAATATACATATGTACATAAATATATATATATTCAGCCTCCTGATGAGTCGGTGAAACTCCGACGAAACAGTTTGTCACAGCCCCTCGTTTGTTGTCCTCTTCTCCCTCTCTGCCTATGGTTTACCGGGCAGTGTTGTCCTCTTCTCCCTCTCTGCCTACGGTTTACCGGGCAGTTCTATGTGACGATATATATACTACGACTTCGCTAGCTTCCTGCTACGGTTTTTTCCAGTCAGGTCGAGCGGCAGTGGTCGGGGCCGTTACTAGGCGGCCATGCTGTGCCTCTAGTGCCAGCGGCGTGTCTGGAGTGTTATTTTTGGCTGTGACAGACCTTTCTTTGTTTCGTGGATGTTTTGCTGGCTT